GGGGCGGCGCCCCAACTCCCCAATCGGCCCTGCTCTGAGCCTGACCAGGGGCTGCACCTAGGGATTGGGCCTGCCCTCTGCCACCCGGGAGCAGGCCTAAGCCAGCAGGTTGTTATCTCCTGAGGGGTCCCAGACTGCGAGAGGGCACAGGCCGGGCTGGGGGACCCCCCTCTCCCCCAAGTGCACAAATTTTTGTGCACTGGGCCTCTAGTATATATATCTCCTATATAATAAAAGGCTAATATGCAAATCGACTGAACGGTGGAACATCCGGTCGCTATGATGCGCACTGACCACCAGGGGGACGATGCTCAACTGGGAGCGCTAAAGATGTCCGACTGTGAGAGGGTGCAGGCTGGGCTGAGGGATGCCCCACTCAAGTGCACAAATTTCATGCACCGGGCCTCTAGTATGTATATAATTGATTTCAGAGAAGGAAGGGAGAGGGAGAGAGAGATAGAAACATCAATGATGAAAGAGAATCATTGTTGATCAGTTGCCTCCTGCACGCCCCCTACTAGGGGATGGAGCCGCAATCCAGGCATGTGCCCTGACTGGGAACCGAACCATAACCTCCTAGTTCATAGGTCGAACTCAACCACTGAGCCACACCGGCCGAGCGGATGTGGGATCTATTTTGACAGCAGACCCACAGGTGCTGATGGGCAGGAGGTGGGGCCTGAGGGAAGAAGGGGAATCCAAGATGACTCCTGGGTTTTAGACCTGAGATCTTTCCCTGGGCTGAGAGCTTAGGGAATGAGCAGGGAGAGGGGTGATGGTCAGAGGCTGACTTGGGAACATGTTAGCTCTGAGATTTAACAAGACCTCCCGATGGCCTGGCAGAGGGGTCAGGGGATATGTGAGTCCAGCCTGGGGCGGGGGACTGGGAGGCTCACAGTTGGAAATGGTCACATGGAAACGGGACTAGGGAGGTCACCTGCCTCCTGCCTCCTAGCCCAGCGCTCTTCCCACCGCCTCTCTCTCTGTCGGGCTCTTTCTTGCCCTCTGAGCTCTCTGGCAGAGCCTTCCAGGTAAGAGGGGCCTCTGGGAGGTGATGCAGAGCTCTGCCCTCCACGTTCCCCGCC